ACTTTAATCATGTGAAGCATGACTTGTCGCTTGTAAAAGTTGGTCAAACTAATGGCACAGACTACAGCTCTTCTCACTGAGACGTGGTCGGTCGGAAATAGCCTCTTTCACTCGAAAATATTCATCCTCGTTGGCTCATTGTGACTTCTTGACTGATTATGTGGCATTTTTCACAACACTTTGAACAGGCCTCATGATGCCACTGGATCCGCAATTATTGCCTGAGCACTTAATCTACCTGTTGCGTCTGCCTTCTGACCCATTGGCACTCGTGGTTGTGAAGTGTAGTCTTAACGTAGCCCCGGCGCTCACAAGCCAGTTTCGAATCCATTCGTATCTTCTGATGAGGCATATGCGAGCTTGACGCAGCAGTTCAGCCTAAATAGGCCAACGTTTTGGAGAGCAAGTTTAAGGCAAATTTAGTGGAACTGTACGGTCTTCTTGCGTCCTTAAATCGACCATATTTTCTTGCAGTTAAAGCAGCCTTTCGACACTATGTAGTTCATAAAAGATATGAATATCAGGATGGTGTGTCCTTATGTATGTTCGCGGTGTCAAAGCTGTTTGACTTTGTTTTGTTGAGCTTACTTCCATTTCGAGTTGAAGTGGTGGGTGAAGAGATTTGAAGGTCGGTTCCACCAGAAGACGACGGCGGATTCCTCTTGACCAGCTGTCGATTGGCTTTACTGGAGCATTGATGCTTCGCTTCCGGTGAAAACGTGCTAAGCTTTCGTCTGTCATATGACGGACATCATCACAGCGAGGTAACATCGTCACAACAAAATTCAAGCTTACGAGTCAAGAAAACTCCAGTAAAGCCAATCGACAGCTGGTCAAGAGGAATCCGCCGTCGTCTTTTGGTGCAATCGACCTTTGAATCCCTTCACCCAACACTTCCACTCAAATGGAAGTAAGCTCAACAATTATGAAACAAGCGCTTCCTCGAAACCCAACTTTTCTTCGTATATATAACTTTGTTTTGCGGAAGCAAGGCTACTCATATGAATGTGGGAAAATTCTTTTACCAGTCCTCATCACCTTAAACGAAATTGGGTAAATACAACTTTTTATCAAAAGTATTAAGACCAAGATGGTGAGGAATTTTGTATGGTCGCATTGTTTGGCAGACAATTGGTCAAATGATCGGCTTCACTTGTCTCTGACGCGTTTTAGTGTGGTGCTAAGTGTGACAAGACTCACTGACGATGCCAACTACGATGTCGACGAAAAGTCTCGAAATGTACCAAGTCCACGGTCCGACTCTGGAAATGATCATGCATACTATGGACTCTGGACTAGCTGGGTTCCTCTAAGTCTTCCTACCAATAGGACCGAGTTGCGAAAACAAGATCATACAACTTCTATACTATGTACTTAGTTCATTTGCCTTGGGTTGCCTCTTTTCACTCATTATTCCCACATATCTAAACATTAATTTGAAGCTATTGCCGTCGCAGGCTAATCAGCGAGACATAACTTTGCACATATAAGATGGTATTAACCCGAAAGGACCAGGAGTTATAGGCAATGGAGGGCACTCAATAATGTCAGGAGGTAGCAATAGCAAATAGCCCGAATCAACGGGATCTCAACCCGACTTGCCTACTCCCCATTTCATCATGGACAAACAAATGAATTCTGTGACGATTCTCAAGTGCCTGGCTCATGGGAAACACTCTCTTGGCAACAATAACCTCTCTGTTTAATCGAAG